ATGAAAATCCTAAATTCTAATGTTGAGATTAATCACAACTTATATAGAATTACATGAAAATGAAATTACTGTCAGAATTGCACTATTTTAATTATAAGGAATACTTAGTACATGTATAGATATAGAATCGTGTTTCTGAAAGGTAAATTACGTCCACGATTTTGCCACAGAAAAGTCTGAAAATTTCGGCTGGAGGGACAGGATCCATTTTTAAACGATCTAGCAATCATCGATACTTACTCTGAAAAATGTCATCGTGCTTCCGCCTTCAAGAGTTCCGTAGGAGATCTGTGTTTGTTCTGCGAGATCGGCCGCGTTCTCGATCGGCGTGATCATTCTCTCGACGGTGAGGAACGCGGCCAAGTTGGCCGTGTAAGAAGAGATGATGATCAACGTGAAGAACCACCAGATTCCACCGACGATTCTCGTGCTGGTTGCCTGACGAATGATGATCGATACTTCTCTTACATAAAGGAAAATCGTTCCCCCCTCCCCATTTCTCTCGCGGGCAATTCCTTCTCGGAAATCGTTCGAGCCGCTGGAAATTGCAATCCTTTAACTACCGAGAGCGAGTTGGAAACAGCGAAACAACAAGCCGTTATTTGTCAATTTCTCTCACTTTTCTTCGGGAACGAGTCTACTAGATAGATATTTCGGAACGCTTGTCACGAGACTGCTATTATTCGACGGATTTTTCACGATGTTTGTCGATCTTTAAATGGAGAATTCTGCAAATATTACCACAATGTACCTCGGTAATTTTATTTATCAAATCACTGTCCTTCCGTCTGAATTTATTATCAAAATCTATTCCCATTTCAAAGTCTCCAATTCCATATCACGTGGCTTCACAAGCTCTATTTTATCACTGAGTTACCAAGTAGGAACTTGGCATATTGTTTGATGAGATGAGAGAGGAAAAATTTAATCTGCAAAATAAAAAACTACAAACTTCTCTAAAAAAATGTATCAAGATCATAACAAGTATTAAATGGATTATTTAAAAGTATTATAACACGTAAATGTATTAACGTATAAAGTTCCTTTAAGAAATAGATCGACAGGATCAAGGCTCAAAGACTCGAAGAACGTTCGTCAAACGTTCATATACGCGAAAAGATGAAATGTTTCGAACGTAATATTGTACGGAAAGGGCTGGCAATCAGTTTTCTTACGAATGTCGCATCTCCGCGTCCGGAAGCCTGTGAAGAGCCCCGACGATCAATTGAAACCACGTGAGTGGAGCATCGAGGTCGGGAGGAGACGATTTAAGAGCTTCGTGCGCGCGTCTCCGCTACGTTCCCGCTTGAAGAATGCAATATGCGGTCTCATTTGCACCCTCCTGAACCCGCTAATGGCATATTTCGATCCATTAGCCGCGGGATCAAGTCGATTACGAAAGCGATTATCGAGCCTCGAGATATCTCTGAATAATTCCTCTTGCCCTATCGCGATGTGAAAGACGTTACTTGAACTATCATGAGTTAGCTAAGCGTAAGAACTAGTTTTCATAATATTAAATTTTTCTACTCTTTTATGAAAGTAGTACCAAATTATACGAAATTTAATATCCAATTAATTTTGGACACCCATTACACAATTAATCAGCTCGCGACCAAATATGCAGCCTCGCGAAAATATTTGAAGAACGTATTCTATGAATACGTATTATGCGTATTATGAGAAGCGTAAAAGTGTTGAAGTTTAATTAGCAATATCATGAAATTCGGCTATCGTGATTATATTTGTTAAATTCGAAGTAAATTTGTTGGTATGTGTGGAAAGATAATTAGCAGAGATCTCGTGGATATTTAAACAATCACATTCGTTATATTAACACGTTGACTGTTGTTGCGATCACCAGCGATTTTATTTCTGTAATGAGTGCTGTAAATCGTGTACAAATTCGTGTATCTGTTTAATTCTCGAGTATGGAGTTTTATTCTTCAAACTCGAGGCCAACATTTCCAAGATTGACTTCAGATTCTACTAACGTGGTCGTGACAATCAGATTTCATAACGAATACACCGTTCATGAATTCTCGCGTGAATAGTTTGCAATTTCGTGGAATATTCTGTAGTCACAATTTTCCACGTTCTCTTAAAAATACAGAAATCGAAAAAGAGCAGTCCCGTGCTTGAAGAAATATTTACGAAAGTCTTTCTCAGTGTTAACACGATAGAAAAAGAAAGAGAGAAAAGTAGAATGGAAATGGCTGGTTTCGCTGGTATCCACCGCAGGAGCAAAGGAATTGCCTGTCTCTCTTGATATTTATTCATATCGCCCGGCAGTGTCGAGGCGAGTATCACGCGCTGTTCGAGGATCACTGTCTCTGCTCGGTGTTTTCCTTCTCGTCGTGTCACAACGGCGATACGACTCGGAAAATCTCTCGAACGATATAAGTTCCTCCAGCGGGAGGAATAATTCTCGCGATGACCGCGCGACTTCCCCGCTGCTTTCCTCTCCCGTTGTGTTTTCGGTGAAAGGAAAGTGGATCGCGGTCGCTCGGATCTTTCTTTCGCGCGGATGCCTGCGATCCCTCGAGCTCGCAGCCACGCGGGATCGTAAGAATCGCGCGAGCGTCGCAACGACAACCCCGCATGTACACACATGCCACCGTGAGCCGGCTAGCACCATATGTCGTACAGGTGTTCCTCGTTAGAAACAATTTTCACCTCTCCGCAGGTATTACACGTGTCTGTGGCCACGGGGAAGATTCAATTCGGTAGACAGGAGCGTGCAGCGTGTACGTACGTACGTACACCCTTGGTAATTGGCGAACAATCTCTAAGTGTGTATAATTCAAAGCAAATTGGATTTCTTTCTTACTACCTCGAGCGTGGGGGTGAAAAATGGTTTTCTAAAGTGAATCTCGTGTGCAATTACTCGAGTTGCTGTTATCGCTTTACCGCAACTACTTAGTAGTTCGAAATTGCTGCCGGAGATAAATTGAACGCATCGTGAATCATGTACGCTTTCTAGTTATTACTAGATTCCGGATTTTTACGCGTTTCTCATACTTCTCGGAATGTGAATAGAAAAATGCTCCCTAAGTGGAAGTTTATTTTGCTAAATGATTGAATATTGTTCGAATATTTCATATATTTGGGTTAAGATTAGTGGAAGCATTATCGATACTATTAATTATTATTTATATTAATTAATTTATTATTCAGAGTGTATATGTATGTATATTCATTTGCCATTTGTGTGAGTGTAGAAGTCATATGAAGATGACGTACGTTTTCTCAAGTAGAATCACACAATATCAGTATAATAAGCTATTTTTATTTTACGTTTCAACACTGTATACAAGTTTACAAAATTAAAATTTGCTTTACGATATAAATGAATCGATTGATATTAGTATATCAAAATATACACGATTCTATTTAAAAACGTAAAATGGCCATCATACGTTCTCTACATGTTCACTTACAAGCTAATTAATTACATCGATTAACTTCTGCCTTGAAATAGAACAAGTTTCTTTTGAAACGTTTGTTAACATAATTAATAGTTTCGACATCATCCGGTATATTTATATATTGTTATTCATACATTATATATGCATCATTCGCATATACAGTGTATTTTGTAACTTTGCATAAAAATCCGCAGTCTAGTTGAACTCGAAGAAAATTTCCAATTTACGTCCTATGAAGCATTTCAATCTATAAATACTTTTCACAATTAAACAATATAACATGCAATTCCATTCTTGGTATTCTATTTTTATGAAATTCACGTGTATCTAACCAATCGCACCGCTGTAAAACACGTAGCAAAGAGCATTATTCGCGATTTTATCGACTGTCCCATCGAACGTTTGTTGGTTATGCAATCTTCCAGAATCCTACAGAAATTTCGTGCACGGATTAGAAACGGGAATTTTCCAGCGCAGAAATCTCGAGCACCGGAGGAGTTCACCGGTCGAATTCGGTCGCGAAACTACTTGCACGAAGCGTTGAAACTTTTTTCACGAGAGAAAACTCTCTCCCAGAGAGAGAGAGGGGGGGGGGGAAGGATTCTCTCATTCGCGACCGAGATCACAGAAATTTTCCTAAACCCGCGCGCGCGAATGGACGAGACCAAGAGAAACTTCCCGAGAACAACTTCGTGAAAAACGGAGTTCTAGCCCGGGGAATGTCGTTGGATTTAGTCGGACTAACAAGAGGAGTGGAAGAAGAAGCTGTCAGCGAGAATGATACGACGAAAATGAAGCGGACGAAATGTCAAGGTGCTTGGCTTGCTATGTGCATGCAGGGGTGACATGCGATCTCTCGATACTCGATCGTTCTGCCTGTATCGAGATTCCCCGTCGTGTTCGTCGGTGCAGCTAAGACGACTATCTCGGGAACAAATTTCCCAGACAAGTTTCTATATTTAGAAATTTTAGAAACTTAGATCGTTCTAATGTTTGTGCCAATCGAATGAGAAGAGATCTTTCGTCTGATTAAGATCTTGCGGTTCCCGATAATTCGGTGTGATATCGTTAGTGAATCAGGCATTTTCTCTCATTTGGTTGTTGCAAATGAAATGAAGTTTGAAACGCAAGTTCCAATATCGGTGAACATGAGTTTCCTTCCGGGACAATATTTAACTAAATTTCCATCACCTAGTTTCGATATATTTCGACTTTAATCTTTCAATTAAAATCTTAGTTCGATCATTGTTAATAATTTTGGTTCATTATTCCCGGTTGTGTTGTAAAAGAATTCTATAATTATTTACATTTGAAATCTATAATTGTTGATGATTTCGTAATTCATTTATTCAGTTTTCTCGAAATTTCATCGTTCTTGTTTGTATTTTCTGATAGAAGTAACAGATTGTCTGTTCCCTGATGTAACTTTGTTAGAATTCTCATTAGTACAGTAACTCTTACTCCTATAAAAGTAAGACTTAAAAACTTTGATTAGGTCAACTTTGTATGAAATTTGACTTTTTACAATAAATCACAATACTTTCAGTTACGAAACTTTAAACGATTACATACGCTTGAAAACTCCTCCATTTCATCTGCAACAACCTAATGTTTTCAACGTGTAACTAATGTTGAATAGCGTAGCGCAGACAAATAGAATCGGTGAGCGCTGCCCTCGCGTGGTTTTATCCACCGATTATCTAAATGAAACGTATCTGCTTCCTGATCCCGTTGTGTCTAGTTTTTAGCGTCACACGATGTACTCATATGGTGCTTGAAACATTTCAGCGCTTTGTACGCCGTTTCTCGTTCGTTAAATAGGCAAGCTCGTTGGACCTGGTCTCATTTCGTAGCGCGCACGTTTGATGGATCATCCTCGCGTTCCTTTGAAACTTTTCGAAAAATGAGACTCACTCGCTTTCACGGTTCTTGGATGCACGTTGGCGGAAAGTTAGATA